GATGTTGACACCACAGGAGGGACACAACAAAAGACAAAACACAAATCCATCTTTTTCACAGGCCATTCAGAGATGTGAGAAGATGAATTTCCAGATTTTGTCCGAATGTAAAGTGAGCATTTCATGACCACCCTGGGGATGTGAAGGGCAGGGATCATCCAGAAGCATATTTTACATTTCTCATTGGATCAGAAAGCTTTGCAAATTATCATTTCCCTTTCCTGCAGCTTGCAGAAACAGTTGGTGACAAGAATTGATAATAAACTGGGCCAACATCCATTCATTTCCTCAAAATGATGTAATAGCATTTTATGCCACTTTAATAGAAAAATATTAAAGCAACAGCAAGTTTTATAGAACATTAATTTTTCTGGAGTAGGAAGCAACTGTGGCTTTGTGGCATAATGCTTAAATGGGTAATATGGGAAAAACTTCATCAGTTCCAGACTAAATGAGAGACCTGATGCTTTCCTGGTGCCTCTCATATTTCCTAAGTTTGCTGCCTCTCAGCCTTTCAGGTTTCCATATTTAACAGCAATTTTGTCTCATTGTGGTAAAAAATTTACTTCAGGTACTCATATCTATCTTTCACTCTTCTTTTTTCCCTCTGTGTCTTCCTCCACACTCAAAATAAGACATCATGTTCCAGCTTTGACATGGTTAAATTAGCCACAAAATTACAACTCACGCACTGCTGCCTGTAACTCTTGATATTTAACTCTTCCTAGACTCTCAAGCAGTGAAAAAATAATACATTTATATTTTAAAAGGGCCTGTGGAAAACACAGAGGTTGCAAAATTAGTCCTTATGTGCAAGGAAACAACAGAGCTGCTGTTTTCTGTGTAATTCCAATTAAGCCTTTCTGTGTGTATGGGTGATGATAATTACCTGATTCCTTTCTTCCCCAGGGGATCCCTATTTCATTCCACCTACAAAGAGAAAGGACAATGACCCCAAAGGTTGCTCTGTGATTTTTGACTGCTGTAATTCTGTCTCTGGCCCAGCCCACCCTGCAAAATCATGACTGAAGACTGAGTTGTTGCCTTTCTGATTGGTTCATGTGTGGGGCTCATGGCAATTGTGTGAAAGTCTCTCTCCAGCAGGAAAAAAACAGCCTTTGGATCACTCTGAGCATTGTCCATGCTTTACACATGAACATCTGGGACAAATAATTGCTTGGAGGGGTTTTCCTCTCTCCTCTGCCTAAACAGACAGCAGATATGACAAGTGTAATTTTTAGTAGCCTAATATTAGGCAAGATTTATTGATCTGGCCGCACCACGGTGCTAGTTCTGTGATGTACATGGGGAGAAGTAACAGCTCTCCTGAGCAACCCTTTACAAAAAGAGAAAAAAACTCTCTTCAGGTTCTCCCCATTCTCATTCAATGATCAGAATTTTGTCTGCCGGAGAAGAAAATTTGGAATTTTAAGTGTCCCCTTAAAAAGATGCCCTTTATGACCCACCCCATGCATGATCAGGATCAGGAGCTAACTCTCCCTCTGTGTCTGCTCACACTCTGCTCAGTCACTGCCAAACCCCCAGAAGTCCAAAATTAGTCAAATATGGATTAAGATGTGAAATTCCTGGTCCCAGCTGCAGCAGCAGTAATACCTGAGGATGTCAATCACTGGGACAGCCCTGCAGATCTGCCAAGGCATTTCCTTTCATCATGGTCCCCACTAAAGCATTTAAGCCACCTGCTTTAAATCCACTTACCTAATGTTGTACTTTAGAGGACCATGACATTTCGCTGCTGTCACAAATTCATTTCAAACTCTTGCCCTGGAATAACTGGGTGGGAAGGATTTAGAGCTGCCATCAGCAGGAGCTGAGGTGGTGCTTGTGCCCTACAGAGTCAAAATACAGGAGAAGGATGAGGGGCAGCAGATAAATGTAGGATTCTGCCTCTAAGAATCTTCTACTCTTTTGACAGAATCATTTAGGTTGGAAAAGATCTCCAAGGTCATCAAGTCCAACCTCATACCTGTCTCTACATCAAATAACAAGGTCATGTCGTTTTCTCAGTGTTGCAAGAGGGCAGATTCCTTCACAACCTGTGGCAGCATTTACAATATTTTGCAGATCAACAAGTCTGGCATTTGAGCGGGCAGGGAAAAATGACATTGCCATGAATTACACAGGTAGAGCTTTACAGAGGCTGCCTTCAGTTGCTATCATTTACTTTTTGGCTGAAATCCACTGCTGTGCAGCTCGCTGTGAAAATCCTGAGTACTCCTGGAGCATGTAAGCCTGGAGGGTAACTGGGGAGGAGACATTGTACTTGTACTTTACACAACAGCAAATGTCATCCCATGGGCATTGGCTGCTGCAACTTGAATGTTCAAAGCAGATGGTAACAGAAGCCTTTTTCTAACAGTCTTCTCTGGATTTCAATGAAAGGGCAAAAATATTATATCCCTTTGGCTCAGAACATTAACAACAGATACATTTCTTGTAGTAATTCACCGCTGTCCTTGTTATCATAATCCTGATTTGAAATGAGGATTGTAGTCAGGTGACACAGACCTTGGAAATTGCTTCTTTACATGAAAAAAACCTTTTTTTCCTGTTTCAGCTCTTATAGCTGGCATTTTCTGACCCAAAAGTCTGGAAAATACATGAGAAGTAAACTTTCATATTTGAATGAAAGTTATAGATTAATAAGAGGTGGATAGGTTCTATCTGGTTTCTATTTTAGAATGATGCCATCTCTAAGATCAATAAGATATATATATCTATATATCTATACTACCCATGACAATATAAATGTGTTTTCAGAGCAGGAAAGGCCTCAGCAACAAAGAAAGCAAAATAAAACAACTCAGGCTGTAGCTGAGGCTGCATTTTACAACTCACTCAACATCAGAGAAAAACAAGGATTTGGTTGATTTGGGAAGAGGACGGGATAGAGTACACAAAGTCCAGAATACAGCAATGAACAAAGGACCTATATTGAGTGGAAAAGCTGACAAATCTGGCAAATCTGAGTAGATTTCCACGTGCTCTCCATTGTAATGAGATGCCTGCGTGTTGGAGAGCTGATGGATCACTGGCACTTGTAGGAGGTGCGTGACTGCAAAACCCGTGTAGCTGATCACTTAAAATACATCACTTAACAAGTCCTTGGTATTTTTCTGTGCCTGGCATAGATACATGGATAGATACAGCAAACCCTGAGTTGCATCAGAGCACACTTTACTGCTTTATCAGAGCACACTTGTCTTTAAGAATATGAGGAATCAGTCACGTCAGCTCACCTATTCCAGTGAGCTTCCCTGTGTTTGTACAGCGTGGAACAGTGTGAGCAACTTCATGTTCCAGACAGAGAAGGGCTTGAAATTTTCTCCCTAATTTTCTCTACATCCACACAGAATAAAAGGAAGACAAATGCCTCTCAAGGCTCAGAATGAAAACATAAAATTTCTCCTCCTATGTTGGGCCAGGACTATATTCAAAGTGCTTTTTGTACCTGAAGGAGATGTGATACAGTTTCACTGACAAATTCTGAGATTCTCTTTCAAATAATCACAGAGGTGTTTCAGCAGCCAAATGTAAATTTATTTTTTTCCTTCTGACATTTAGATCCATGAGTGTTTGCTTAACAGGGATTTCTTATAAAATGGTGCAAATTTCCATGTTAAAACCATTGAGCAAAAGCATTTTGGCAGGAAGAAAGTTAAATATAGAGGTGTGGCAAGGGGCAGTGCAATGGTGAGTGCTGCTGGTCGGAGTGAATCTGTGCCAGAGCTGATGCACAGGTTCTGTTCAATCCCCTCCTTCCCTCAGTTATCTTCTCTGTAAAACAAGGACAAAACCAGGCTCAAGTGGACAGAAACAGAAAAGGCAATCTGTGTTCCACAGTCCAGGAAGCAAGGGAAACACTTCACACAAATCTGTGAGAGGAGGAAAAACTGCTCCTGCTCTTTGCAGAGGGACCCCTCTGAGGACTACAACATATTTACTCACAGGAAATGGTCTGCAAGGCTCAGGTAGAGAATATTTGCACAACATTTGGCTCCTGGAGAACACCACGCAGGAATTAGCATTCTGTGGCAAAGCTGACTGTAAATGTTACCCACAACAAGTGGAACAACCCAAAAACTTCAGGATGGGCTGTGACTCACATGCCTGTAATGATAGCCCTGGAAATTCTGCTGCTTTCAAACACCAGCATCAGATACCAGATCAAGATTAATAACTGCAGCCCAGTTTTAGTGAGCACAGAAACTCAGAGAGACTCGTGTGTGCAAGTAGAGGAATCAAGAGTCAGCACTGCCATAGATGTCCCCAAAATAATCCCAAATCATTAAGATTTTGTGATCACTTCCCACCAAGCATAAACAATTCACAGAGTTAAAACAAATGTTATACAAACAAACAAATGTTGAGGTTTTGGGTTTGTTTTTTTTTTTAAGATGTAATGATGGGTTGCTCACAAGCACATTCAGGCTGTGCTAGAGGATACTGACTGAGAATATAAAATATGTTGCTTATTTACATAAAAAGACATCTTTAGCTTGAATTTTAAACCCATTCAAGTCAGTGATAGCTGCCAATTTTAGAAAGAGTCCAGTCAGGCCTTGCCAGAGAAGCAAATATTGCCTTGCCTGGGATACCAAGAAACAATAAATTTGATATGCTGGTCTGTTGCCCTCCTTTTCATTGACATGTGCATTGCAGGCAGGAAAGGAAAGGTAACTTGAGTTTACTCAACCAGCATTCATTGAAAAAGCCACGTTTGCAGAAATCACATCCTGTTTTGCAGGGGAAATGCAGGGAGAACACAAAGCACAGTTGCCATCCTGGATCAGCTGTTGTGTGAAGGGCTCTGACCCTGTGGTAACCTGGTTTTCTGTGTCCTCTAGGAATAAACCACACCCGAGCTTAATAAACCACACCTGAGTTTAATAAACCACACTTGAGCTTAATGAGGTGTAAAATCTCTCGTCAGCTCCTCCACCTTTGTTCAAGTGCAGTTATTTAATACAAACACAAAAGCTGTCCCTACATAAAATATAAAGGTGAGTTTGGAGGAGCTGGGACTGTAAGCAGGAATCACAGCCCAGCAGCTGTACAGGGTGTCGAAGCAGATAATTTGTATTTCACAACAGTGAAAGAAAGATGATCTTTGCGGCCTTTTATGGAAATACTTCAGTGTCCCCACATCTCCACCAGGAACTAAAAGGTAAAATTAGGAGAAATTTGTTTATTTTGCTCACTATCATTGCCTGCTGCTGCTTCAGGATAAATGGGAATGAAATTCCAAGGAGCCAACTTTTCCAACATGGAGCCATTTGAGTGACTTGTTACACTTCTCTTTGACAACACTAATATTTAAATTTATTTTTAGTTTGTGAGTCTGTCTTACAGCATCGACCCACTGTCCTGAAAAATATACACCAAGAAATCTTGTTGCTGCAGTTATTCAGCTTTGGGGTGACCTTGTTGTGGTTTTCTAATATCTGAAGGAGCTGACAAGAAACATGGAAAGAAACTATTTCCAATGGATGGAGTGGACAAGGGGGAATGGTTTAAACTGCCAGAGGGCAGAGCTAGATGGGATGTTGGGCAGGAATTGTTCCCTGGCAGGGTGGGCAGGGGCTGGGATGGAATTGCCAGAGCAGCTGGGGCTGCCCCTGGATCCCTGGCAGTGTCCAAGGCCAGGCTGGACATTGGGAGCTCCTGGGACAGTGGGAGGTGTCCCTGCCATGGCAGGGGTGGGGATTGGATTTAAGTTCCCTTGCAACACAAACCATTCTATGATTTTATGATTCAGAGAGAAGTTCAAGATTAAAGTCTCCAAAAATTAATTTAACTCAGGGATGGTAGATGGGCCTAAGAAACAAGCACGGACTGATCATGAACTGAGCAGGAATAGGTGAACCCACTGAGAGTATTAGAATTAAAACTTTCTGGACACAAAATTCATGGAGTAATTATTTCTGAATAAAATTGCTAAATTTCTAAATTTCCCCTATGAAAGAATGGCTCAAAATGCAGTTCTGTAGATTTTGGGGATGCATGTAAAGTGTGCAGTGGTGAGCGTAAAGGCCACTTTGTTTGCTAAAATATCATTTGATTGGACACCTCAGTGCTGAGATAAGGCCCAGATTTAGGATTTAGCCTGCATTTCCAAACAAAAATGCAAAATAGTCCTTTTATAGCTTCATTTTGATAAGGCTTCGCTCTCCTAATCAGTCGCATTGTTGGAGTGGCACTTAAAAGGAACTGGAGCTGGCAATCTAACAATAGCAAGACCCAGATAGGTCATTGAATCACCAACTTTCTGTGAGTCACCCTCAGAACAGCATTAATTACCTAAGGTAATGTTTGTTAAACGATTTGCTTTTGACAGGGAAACATATGCTGCACTGCTGGTTCATTAGGAGGTGTTTTAATTGTTAGACTTTAGTCTGGCGTCTGCACATTGCCTTTTCCAGCTCGTGCTCTGTTCAATCAGCTGAACAGAGTAGCAGGACTTCCAGTGATCAGCTCTCAGCCCAGGGGCTGGTTATTTTTGAGATAAATCCTGTCTCCAGTCTTCTAATCCTATGCACAGACATAGGTTTCTTTGTTTTCCTCTCTGCTGGGGAATAAAAAATTGCTATATTTAGTTTGGATGATGGTTTTGCATAGAACCGAGACAAAAGGTGCTACAGTTTTCAAACTAATTTTTTCTTTAATGGGTTGGTGGAAAACCTACATTGATTTTGAGCTCTTTTAACGGCAGACTGGTTTTTAAATTAAAATGTTAAGGGCTGGACTCTGGAGGCACAGGTGGCAACTGAGTCCCATGGAAAATGAGGATTCTGGTGTTTCATTCCCCTATGTGACATTAAAGATCTCCCTCTACACCTTCTTGTTAAGCACCAAAAAATCCCTTTTTTGTTTCCTGAATTTTATTTTCCTACTTGAGTCTTCTCTCACAAAATTAATTTGAAACATTGCTCCAAGTATTGGAGATTTTTAATGGACACATTAAAAGGGGAAAAAATTGACAAAGGTTTGATACACAACTGGTGGCTATCAACTTGTGATCAAACTTCTGAGGGATGTCTAGCACCTGGATAAGGGTCATCCCTGGAATATTTTGGTTATTTTCCTGGTTCCAAGCCTTTTTGACTTCTCCTGGGCCACCCCTGTGAGTGGGAATTGCCTCCCTCAGGAGATCCTGAGAGTCCAAGCTCCCCTCCAAGACCAGGGACGTTCCAAGCACCTCACATTTCCCACACTGAGCTCCACAAGCGCCAGAAAACAAACTTTAATCTGTATCTACCCTACATTCCCTGCCACACCTGTCAGCTCACCTGGCTGGCTTCACATCCCAGAGCACAACTGTTTGTCCTCCTCCACCTGGGATATTTGTAACACCTTGGGTGATTCTGCAAAGAGACTTTCTACTGAGCTTGAGCAGGAATAAAAATTTTCTTCCGCTCTGCTTTGCAGGGACATGGTGTTTTCATTCCAAATGCACTTTTTACCACTTGGAAATCACTCTTTTCCTCAATAAATCAGTGCAGTTCTGGCTGACTTGTTCGTGGGAGGAGACAGAGGAGAGGGAAGTTGGCCACCTTGATTTAATTTCCTCTCTGAAGTGGAGCATATTTTGATTAAGGGAGCCACGAGGAGACATTCTCTATAGGGACTCAATATTTGAAATTTAATTTCCTTCTCACCGAGCTGGATGTTGTTGTTGTTGGAATCAACAGACAGAACAGCTGACCAAGTGATGAAAGGACCTACCAGAAGGTGCTGTGAATGCAGTTTTCATTTGAAAATTCCTGCTAATGTGCCATGGCCTTTGTCAAAAAGAGTTGCAGAGTTTATTACATGGTAATTTTTAATTAAAACATGAAGTCTATTTTTAAATACCTAAGACGAGCTACCTGTGCAGAGTAAATTGTGCAGCAGTGCAGGAACATGAAAATTCCACATCTGGGGGTTTAAATTTCATTTACTGTTATAAAGCAGACTTCTGGAGCCACAGTTGCTCCTAATTGAAAATAGAGAAGTATTTTGATGGTGCAATGGACACACACAAGCCTCTTTTATTTTAATTTAATCCACAAAGCTCCACTTTCCTTCTTTCCTTCCCTCTATGGCAGCTGATATTTAATGAAGTTAATTAGTAATTAGTGAGTTATGTTTGACAATGACATGTATTGGGAGCTTTCATGTCCAGATTCTGGAAGCAATTTGCACAGTTTGTGGAATAGAAGTTTGTTCTTTTAAGCCTTAATCAAATGAACAATGTAAGATGTGTAAAATTTTTAATTAATTTAAATCACTTTTACTCTTCAGTGTCAGGCCAGGGTGTGATTATAAATCTTGTTGAATTCCATCTGTCTTAAGGGGATTTAAGGAAAACAAGAATACCTTTCAATCACTTAACAGAAAGTTTGATATCAGCATTATAATAAAGTTTCCTCAATTTTGCCCAAAATGTCAAGATTTTAAAAAGCAGAGAAAAAAGCAATACAAACTGTAAAATATGCAAGCAGAAAAGGAGGTATATTGAGTCAAGAATATAAAACTTGGTTATTTAAATAACTGAATGACAGGGATTTGTGTGGAGACTCATCTTTTTAACATCTAAAAAAAAATCAGCTAATTAATATAAAAGGAAGGATGACAACGAGCTTTACCATATTTCCCAACAATGATTCTGTGATTTTATGATATTTTCCCTTTGGCTATTTTATACATGAAGGAATTAATTTTTTTTTTCCATTTCCCTTTTCTTCTAGCAGAGAAACTAAATGTAAAGGCAATTCTTGAACAGATTTTCCCATAAGGCTCATAAAATAAAAACAATACTCAGGATACATCTTAAAGTACCTCCACAACTTCTATGCTTATGTTTTGGGTTGGATTTTTTTTCTGGTTATGTGCATGGTAAAGGCACATATTGGACAATTGACTGTTCAATATTCTCTTTCATATTGCAAGGAAATGCAGCAAACAGACATAATCCTAGCAGTAATTCACATTAATGGTTGGCAGATGAATTGTGAATTACCACGGGCTGCAAATTGATGAATAATCAAAGGCGAGCAATAAGCAAGCATAAAGCTTCTCATAATATACTTTGTTCATTATCCTGAAGATCCCTCACTTGTGTTAATAATTCAGGGGATTTTTCTAATAAATGAAATGTAGTAAATTTGGTAGCAAATCCCACAGTCCAAATAATAAGGCTTCACTACAATGTCTAACTCAGTATATTTTTTAAAACTGCGAGATTCTTGCTGAGCATCATAAAATGCTCAAATAACAAGGCAGTTTCACTTGCATTTTAAAAACTTTTCTCCTTTTTTTCCCTAAAAAAAACTAGAATTGCTCCAAATCATCTCCAGAATAACACTGTCCTCTCAGACCTGAACTGAACAGATGAGCCCAGAGGGCAAACCTGGTAATTGTAAAGAAGTTTTTACAATTTAAAAAAATAATAATACAATACAATAAAGTAAAATAAAATAAAATATAAAGCCTAAGAAGGTCAGGTCAGTTTATCATGCTACTGACTTTTGAAGGGTTAGAATTTGGGGTTTTTTTAATCACATTCTGAAAAATGATTGGTTTCTCTCTCAGGTTTTCACATTTCCCCACTGCACAGAAATTAAAGTTCTTTCTCTTACTTTCTTAAGTCTTCATTTTTTAATTTTTGCATGAAAAATCCTCAGGAGCCTCATGCTCTGCCTCTCACTACTCTGACCTGCCTTTATTAAAACCAGATTTAAAGATTTTAAAGATTTCATCTGTCTCTTTGGAAGATGCTGGGTGTGAGTGCACCTTCATAAATTAGGGCTTCCACCTCTGATCACCATGATTAAAGGAAAAAAAAAGGATTGTTCCAGGCTTTGTAATTTTGGTCTTAAGGCAAAAAAAACCCAACAAAACAGTTGTATCTCAGCATTTTCCACAGTGACCAAATGTTGAAAATGTCTATGTGCCAACATTCATTTAAAAAATTATACAACAAAAGCAGAAAACTCTCTGATGGGTCTAAATTCTTATCTTGTTGAGCAGATGTTTTATTAAGAGAGCTAAGATATTTTATTAAGACAACAAATTAGTTCTACAGGACCACAAATTCACTCAGCTTGTTTAGGTTATTTAATTTCTAGTCCTTTTTATTGCTGTGTTATTCCTTGTCCTTAACATCTAAAAGAAGGTATAAGCATGGCTGGAGGTTCTGGAAGGACCTTTTGGGATTTTAATTTGCTTTTTAAGGACTTTCAGGAAACCTGAGTTGCCTTTTTGCATTCAGAGGAATTAGCAGTGGGTGTGATAGGGAAGAATTCAGAAGTTGTGTGGTTGTGGCACTGGGGGATGTGGTTCAGGGGGAACACAATGGTCCTGGGTTAACAGGACTTAATGTTTTTAGAGAGCTTTTCCAACCTGAATAAATCCATGAGAATGTAGATCATGCAGATAGGGGAGATGAAAAAGTGTGACATTTGTTATCTCTGTCCTTAAAAACAAACAGAATAAAATGCTGGGCAGTGCATCCTGAGCTTCTGCTTGGGGAGTATTGGGTTGAGAGGCCCAGCAAAAGACATAAACCTGCAGCATAAACTCTGAGCCACCAGTTCTGATCACCAAGCCAAGGAAACTTTGCTTGGAGTGGAAGTTCTTTGCAGGAAGATCTCAACTACTGCCTGCACATCTTGACTTTGCCAGTCTCTCCATGTCAGCAAAGATCCCATATAATTACGAGCTCAAGCAATTTCTTCCCTGCCTAAAAATAATCTGCTATTCCTACCTTCTGGGAAAAAAAATATTTCTGCTGGAAGCTTGCACTGTAAAACTGTGATTTTAATTAGCTCTCCGAAGTTTTGAACTGAATAAATTATTGTTATCCACAGGAAACGTTTAACGTATATTTCTGTTTACTAGGATAATTAATTTAATCCCCTTCACTCACTCTCTCCCCCTCTTTTGCTTTCCCCAAACTTGAAGGCTGTACAAACTGCTGTGAGAATACTTCTGCCTGAGAGAATAGCCAAGAAATTCTCCAGAACAATCCCTGTGCCTGAGACAACTCATTGAAAGCTTTCACTAAAGCGGGAGAAATGGCAAACGACGATTTTCAATATGCATGAGGCACTAAACAGCAGGCAGTGAACGGTGTAGGTGGCTTTAGACAGGAGAGGGCTACAGCATCACTCATCTCCTCCTCAGGTGGATCTTTCAAATAGATTTAAATCATCAGAATCCTTTCCAGGAAAACTGCAGCTGTGTGCACTGACTGCACGCAGTCCCAGGTGAATTGTACAGCTGCAGATGCCTGGTTGGGATCTGTCTGAAGTTAAGTGAGGGAAATCCCACCCTGAGGGCTTACATGAGTGTTAGGTAAAATAATTGCACCAACCTCCCTCAGAAGAATTTACAAAACCAAAGAAAGGATTGTCACTCCGAGCTCTAAGGGATGAAACTGCTTGGAAAGGCTTCAGGATTCATCCATTTAAATTATCAGGATCCAAACTCTGCTATGAAATCACAGCTCCTCTCAGACCTGTTAATGGCTGGAGGTTCCCTGTTCCTTCACTGGTGTCCCTTCCATGAGGAGCAAAGCCTTGCACCCATTTCTCTGCAAAAGACATTTGTTTTCCCAATGGTTTATTCTCCTTTTTCCCCTTCTGACAAGGTGCTCCCTTCCTCTCCAAATAAGCTATTTTCCCACTCTCCAGCCTCTTCCATTGAGCTGCTCCTTACCAAGTTTTCTGTCCCTGCTGATCCTCCAGCTTTTTCTCTCATATTTCCATAATCAAATGGAGCTACAGGTTACAAGAAGGCCTCTGAGTGCTTTGGAGCTTTCTGGATTTCAAACTTCTCTGGCACCAGACCACACCTTGCTGCTTTTGAAACTCAAATGAGCTTGGTGCCAGGTCAGCTGCTCTCTGTGAGGGTCCGTGCTGAGCAACTCCTGTCCGAGTGCAACTGTACTGAAAACTTCTAAAATGCCAGGCTGTAGCCACAGAACTGAGAAATCTCCTTCACAAGACACCTGGTACCAAACACCTTTGTGGGATCACAGAATGATTTATGCTGGAAAGGAGCTCCAAGGTCGCTGAGTCCAACCTGTGACCCATCCCCACCTTGTCCCCAGCCCAGAGCCCTGAGTGCCACATCCAGGTGACACCTCCAGGGATGGGCACTGCAAAGCTCCCTGGGCAGCCCCTGCCAAGGCCTGAGCTCCCTTTCCATGGGCAAATTCCTGCTGCTGTCCACCCTGAGCCTCCCCTGGCCCAGCCTGAGGCCTGAGCTCTCCTCCTGTCCCTGTTCCCTGGCAGCAGAGCCCGACCCCCCCGGCTGTCCCCTCCTGCCAGGGACTTGTGCAGAGCCACAAGGGCCCCCTGAGCCTCCTTTGCTCCAGGCTCAGCCCCTTTCCCAGCTCCCTCAGCCCCTCCTGGGGCTCCAGACCCTTCCCAGCTCCGTTCCCTGCCCTGGACACGCTCCAGCCCCTCCAGGGCTCTCCTGCACCAGCCACAACTGGAGCCAGCCCTGGAGGGGCCTCTCAGAGCCAGCACAGAGGGACAATCCCTGCCCTGCTCCTGCTGGACACACAATTCCTCACCCAGGGACCAGTGGCCTTCTTGGCTCCCTGAGCAAACATTGGCTTTCCTCTTGTTGGTCCCAGTTTGGACAAGGTACCCACCTTTTAAAAAATGGCCTTTTTTTTTACTCCTTTCACATTCCCTAGGTCTTAGCGCAGTTATTTTTAACAGCTTCCCCAAGCAAATCCCAAAATACATATTTCGAAATCTCTCGATTTTTCCATAAATGACAATGCACGCTGTGATTGAATATGAAATGGGCTCTGAAACGAATGCTGTGATGAATTCTTTTTTTTTTTGCCTCAGGCTTTGGTACCTGCAGGTACCAAACATTTAAATACCAAGCTGCTGAAATCCCTGGTTAGAGCCTTTCCTTGTCAGCTCCACTGTAAATATTAGGCTTTTGCTGATGCTAAATAGTCTAAACCCTGAGTCAGCTATCAAAACTCTGCAGCTCATAAGGGATCAGGCTGTACTTAGGATCTCAAGATTTGTATCTGAGTTGACTTACAGCTCACATTAAGTAAATATATTCTCAGCTCTGCCCATCACGCTCTGTTAAGAAGCACGGAAGCAGCGATGAACCTGAGCAGTAACTTTAGCTTTGTTCATCATCTGGCTTATTTACTGTTGCTAGGTAAAGCCATTTCCTGGAAGACTGAGTGAAAAATTCCCCCATCCAAGTCCTGAGGAACGAATCCTGCACGCAGGGAAATGCAGAGGGACGGGATGAGTCAGGGGAGCAGTGTGAAAATCTTCTGCAGCTGTGCCAGCAATCCATGATGCTGTTCCCAGGACACCGGAGATTTTTTGTTAATGCTGTTCTCTTCTTTGAAAAATTGGCAGGTTTTGGTTCACTGATCTTAAAAATAAAGGTGGCTGAGGGCATCCCTCTGTCACAGATTAACAGCCTCAGGTGGTGAATAACTTATCCCTGCAAACATAAATGGTCCCTCCAGGTAACAGCTGCCAGGGAAGCACAGAAAAGATGGATTTTTGCTTTGATTTGTACAGGGGACAAAAAAAAAAATGGGAAAAGCTTATAGGTCTGCTCCTCTTGGACCCAAACAGGTTCTGAATTACAACATCCCCAGCTGAAGCTGAAAAAGAATTTCATACCAACAAGACAAGAATTTCATACCAACAAGACAAGAATTTCCATGCCAACCTTTCAACTTCTACATTTGCAAGCACGAGCAAAAAAAAAAAAAAAAAAGCCAAGAAGAAAAGCAATCCTGTTTGTAGCCAATTAAAAAAATTCTACCATGCATCTTTCATTTACATTTGGTGATATGAAGTTTAAAAAAATACATCAACTTCAATTATCCTGCAGGCAATATGGACACATAGGAATCCTACTCCCACACAACTCATTTGGAGGCCAGCAATATTTATGACTAAAAAAAAAACCTTAGCAGAATTTAAACAAACACAGGCTTTTCTGGGTGAAACTTCACATCTATTTTTGTTTTCTGATAAATTAACCTCAGCAGCAACAAGAGATTCAGTGAGCTGAGGGCTCAGCTGTTGGAAATGAAGCCCACAGACTAAAGCAATTTCAATGACCTAAACTTGTAGCTCTGAGAGGTAATTCCTTCAAATCAAGAACCACTTTATATTTGATAGATATTGCCAGGTAAAATCTACCAAAATGAGACATCTGTATTTTGAAAAATCAAATTTCTTCTTACTAAAGAGAGCACTGCTCTTTTCAGGTTGGGATTTTATAGCATTTACTCGAAGTATTGTTTCTTTTGCCACTTTAGGATCTTCTGTGAGTCTATTAAAGCAGAAAAATCATCACCACTGCAGTATGAAAAAATCCTACTCAGGCTTTCACCCTTCCTAGGGAAGAAAAAAATTGATCATGGACCCAAAACTTCCTTTACTTAGTAGAAAATTCTATTTTTATTTCCAAGAAAGCTTCCTATATTGTGTGGATACCCTATCACATGAAGAAAAATCACCACAGTTCTTGTTTTTTCTCAACATATCCACATCTCATAAAATAATATTAAAATCAGGGACTTCCAAGTGAACTTTAATTTGATTTTAAAGGATTAATTAGTTAACAAACCAACAAAAATCCCATCTCAATATTATTTCCCATTATTTATCCCTTAGTTAAAAGGTTTTGTTCTCAGTAGCAGTGAGGAACAAGGAAAACAAAGCAGATTTTTTATCAGAATCTCAGTCATAACCTGATACATAAAAACTTAATGTGATGTGCAAAATCACAGCCTCTTTTAGCAAGAAAATCTGTTCCCTCACAAATTAAAATTCCAGGATGGATATTGACCATCCATATTCCCATTAAATACTTGGAGCTGTGTTATTTATCACTGCATAAAATGCATTGAAGATCTGATTCAGAAAACATGTATGTGTTCTTCACATAAGCCTGATAAAATATTTGCACTTATAAATATTTTGTGTATTTAAATATATATAAAGAAATTAGAGATTTGAATAAATATGGGGACTGGGTGTAGGAGTTCCTTATCATGTTTAGGTAGAGGTAAATATCTACAAATATTTGTGCATGCATGGAAAAAAAAATCCTATTAATAGGATTTCCAGTTCCTCAGTCTAATATTTTCTTCATCTTCATCTTAAAAAGCTGTGCTCAAATTAAAGAAATACATGGAAATAGAACCATAGAAAGGTTTGGGTTGGAAAAGACCCTAAAAACCATCCAGTTCCAGCCAGGGACATTTTCCACTAGACCAAGTGGCTGCAAGGAAGTTATAGAAAATCCTTTGGAAATACAGAATCCAGTCTGATACAACATAGGAAAAATCTGTTTGTAATAACAGAAAAATCTCTCAGGGTTTATTTTAAAGCATAAAGAGCAAGATGAAAGTGTACCCATCATAAACTGCAGGAATATCTGTGTACAGTAATTGTTTGATTACTGAGGGACATGAGGCAGAACACAATGCTGCAAATTCCAGCACCCAGAACAATTCCCGTGAAGCCCAAAATGTTTTGTTCAATACCTTCCACCAGCTCCTTTTCATGATGAACCTCAAGCTTTACCACTCCTGTATAAAATAATTCCACCTATATTTTGATGTAGTGTCACGTGTCAGGGATGATGCCCAGCAGATACATCATTAAAATTAATGGATTAAAATTAAAATTAAAAAGAGTGTAGGAGGAAGGTCAAGAAGCTGCATTTCAGTATTGAGGCTGAAAAGTCCCTTTTAGTCCATCTTTTATACCTTCAATGAACACTGCCTCACATTTCTAAGAGATGCACACACTGTGAAATCTGCAGAGATATTTTTATGGGCCTAATGAAAAGTATTATTAGTTTACATCCTAATCTTTACTAAGTATTTTAGGAACACAATCTAATGAATAGCAGAGACGGCTGTGTTTTCACACCATAATTGCATTATGTGTAATTCAACCCCGTTGTCTCCTCACCAGATGGTGCCCTGGTAGAATTTAGTGGGTATATAAATGATGGATTTGGACTGAAATAAAATCAACCTTCGCTTGTGAAGTGCGTTTTACATTCCAGCACTGATTTCAGGACAAAACCCTGGAGTGTAAAAGCTGGAAAATCAGCAGAGGGAAATAACAAAGGAGTGTTACAAATGAATCATTGCAATTCAGGCTCTTCATACAAGACACTTTTCTGCCTGCTCAGCTCTCACTGATGTGGAGATATAAAATTACTATTTATGAAATTTGTGGAGGGCACAGTGAGTGCCAAATAACATCAAGGACCCAGCAGTTAGACAAAGTCACCTGATTTGCTTGTTGAGCTGAGCAAATTGAGGAATTCTGCAGGTAAAGAGTGGAAAAAAAGCAAAGTTGTAGGAGCAAAACTTTTATTGTTCTTCCATGAAAACTTGGAGCTTAAGAACAAACACTAACAGAGCTTGTGCAACAGTCTCAAAGTCACAGCAGACACAGAGCTCAACAAAAATTATGTTAAAATTATAAATCTTTGTATTTCCATGGGGAGAAGCAGCAAAAAGATGATTTTGTAAGGGTAGAGGCAAGAGTGATATGGGTTTGTTATGATCAGAAAATGAAAAGTGGGAGAGTGCTACAGGAAAAATAAATTTACCCAATGGCTGGAAAAACAACTGCACTGTGTAAGATGTGGATATTTGACTGGACCATCAGTGTTTGATGCATCAAGGGACCTAGCTAACGTTTCTGAATATCTTGGGGGGTGAGAAAATAATTGATAATAAAGGAAGCTTCAGTCTGGTGCAAATGGGTCTTAATGAATGGTGTATAAATAAATTCTCAGCAGATTTAAGACACTTATTTTTAACAGAAGTGTGATCAGTCCTGTGTGAAAAACAGCATGATGCCTTCCATTCACAAGAAGATGAGGGGAATTATTTGGAATAGATGCTTAAATCAAAGATCCTTTATTGAAGGAAGTAATATTAGATTTTTTGGGTGACCTTTTTAAACCTTAAAATCTCAACATGGACCAAAAGTAACCAACATAATTCACTTGTAGAGGTAGAAATCAAAGCAAAGATCCACAGAGACAGGAAATGTATGAGTTTTCCCAATTTTATGATGTTTAAAATCCAATTTTTCCATAAAAGTAAATATCAGGTAGTGTTTACAGCTTTTTCTCCCTTACTTATTATTCACACAGCCACCTCCAGTGAAATCTCTGTCATTTGAGCTGCCAAAGGTGTTCACCACTGAAGCTCTTGATGGGAATTGGGATTTTTAGTAGGATGCAGCCCCAAATTCCCCTCAACTCCTGCAACACGACAAAGGTTGGAGGATTTGGCTGTTAATCCTGGGGAATGACAGCCAGAAAAAAAAAAAGGCTGACTCATCTCCCCAGTCCACCCATGAAAGCCCCATCAGGCTGTTGTCCCTGGGAACAACACTGTGGGGGCTGTGCATGTGCAAATGAGCACGAAAGCACAGCTGGCATTTCTAATTCCGTCCAACCCAAGAGATACGTGATCTCAGAAGGATCTGAGTTAATTACACTGACTACATCAAACCCAAATACTGAATTCCCAAGTGAAAGATAAATAAATCAATCAATAACTCTGTGCTGTGTGCCATGTAGAAGTATTGAAACATTTACTTTCCATCTGGGTGCTCTCTAATTTTTTCTCGTTGCGTATTCTAATTATGAATAATGCTCAGAACTCAACACGTGTTTACACCTCTTCACTGTTCCAAACCCTGCTGAGAGAGTACAACTTGTTTGCTCTCAACTTGTGATTTCAGAAGAAATAAACCCAATAATGATTCTGTAGCACAAAGGATGTGGCCAAAATGTAATTTCTGTGAGCAGAAGGAATAAAATGGCTTTTTGAAGAAAAGGTCTTCCTTTCCTGGTTTGCCACCACTGCAGAAAAACATCACTTTCCTGCCATATTGCATTTCAAGACAAACTCCATTCAGACAGCATGGAATTCTTATCATTCCAGCTTTAAATCCAGGCTGGAGGTGCTTTTGTTACAGTGAATGTGATTCCCAATAGTTTTGACAAAAGTTACAGTGAGAAAAGCTCTTTTCTAACAATCCTTACCACAGCATTTAATTGTTCCACACAATTTTTCCAGCACAAGGAGGGACTTGGAGAGCCTCATGTGGGTGAGAAGAGGATGTGGAGATGGAAGGAAAGGCTAAAAAGTTGTGGCACAGCATTTACCAATTCCATTGCTAGAATTGTGTTTATATTACATGAAACCCTGAGAGCAATTGACTCATGAGGAGCTCTCATGTTATATGCAAAAAGTAATTAACAGAAAAAACAAGCTGAACATAAATTCCTCCAGAATTCAAGTTGTGGAAATATCAAGCCCAATGCTGAGCAGAATTAACAGAGTTTATT